ACTACATGAAAAAAAGAAATCAACATGTGTGATATCCTACCATTTGGGTAAAAAAGAAAAAAGACATATATATTGCATTTATATACTTATGAGTTATCTACTGATGAGAAAAAACATACTGATCACATTGCCTCCAGAATGGGAACTGGAGAGGCAGCAAGATTTCTACTGTAGTCCTGAATTTTATCTTTTGAATTTTTAGCCATGTCAATGTATTACATACCAAACTTTAAATGTTTAAGAGGCCAGTAATTCAGACTGCCACTGGGCGACCTTGGGCAATTGCTTCCTCTGCTTCCTTAATGAGAAGTCTCCATCTTCTGGGGTTGTTAAAATCCAACTGCCCTACTGCTGAAGAAAATCCTAATCATCAATTGGGGTATATTTGAACCAACTGCTTATCTTTCCAAAGGGTACAACTTACAGAGTTGTCAGGGAAAGCTTCCGAGGTGACATGTGTTATCTGATGAGTGTTCCTGTAATACAGGCATTAGGAAGGGCCCGCAGTGCCTGAGAAACTGCCAGGAGTGGGAGGAGCTGTTACAGAATGAGGTCAGCAGGGAGACCACAGGGTGGGCAAGGAAGACCATGGAAGCTATTCAGACTGCGACCCAAATACCTCCCCTCCCCAACTGGCAACCTAACAGTTGGAAAACAACTTTCAAACAAGTTTTTCCAATTCATGCAAGGACCAAAGAAGTGCGATAAAAACTAAGTACTATCCACTTCCCCTGAAACTGTTGACTGTTTCGGCCATCATTTTGTTGTGTCTTCTTGCAAGCTGGTTTGCGTTAAAGCCTACTAGTATTAAATGACAAAAGATAACAGAAGGTCCATTTGTTTTGGTTTAATAGACATTTATTCTGTTATATAGTTGAACAACCTCTACACACAAAATATGGTTTAAGATTTTTTTGAGTTGGAAGGAATTTGGGTCTTAAAAGGTTCTGCAAGCCTGTTTTCTGGAAATCACTTAAGTGGGCCTTTTTAAAGATCCTTGAAGAAAAAGAAAAATTGGTTCAAGAAAACCAGCGATTAAGTTTCAATACCAAACTATTTATGAAGATAGCAAGCCAAGAATTGGGGTAAATCCTCTTCTCTATTTTCTACACTCAAATCCACCCTGGGAAACAGAAGCCTAGTCTATGGGAAGACATGGTGGAACAAGCAGAATGAGGTGGTAAGGGCAGTCACAGCTGGTGGCCCAGCAAGTCTGGAATGGTGAGGCTGGTTTGAGCAGGGATGGAACTGTAGACAACACAAAGTTGAAGGCCAACTGAACTTGCATTGACACCAACATGAGTTTTCTCAGTAGCCTTTTAAGAATGGAGTGACTTGACCCTAGGGAACAGACTACACTTAGCAATGATATTTTAAAATATAACCACCTCTATTTCCCCCATCCCCTAATGTGGCTGAGTTCATGATGGTCACATACTAATACTACAGATAAAACATTTAACTTTTTGATCCAGGTTTTTCCTACCATCCTACACTTGAAAGGGATCTGATAAACACCAAGCCCCCAGTCCTAACATCACTACCTTACAAACCTTAAGAGCTAATAACTACCTCCCCCCCCCCACACTTATCTAATGTTCAATTTCCATAAGTTTCAATCGACACCAATGTATATACGACCATTTTGCAGGAAGTTCAGTATTCTACAGATCCCAAAGCCTGAACCAGGAGCTTTATATGAACTTCAGTGGTACCATGGAGGCCAAGGCAATTTAATTTAGGTAAACCAGGATTTGGTTCATTTGTCAGAATCCTCTTGCAACAGGTCTATTCAATTCTCTTAAAAATGGTGGCATTACTTTACTTTTTGCTTTCCAGAAGGAGCAGTTACACAAATGTAGTATTAGATTAAGCCTAAATGTAGGCCCTAGTCAAAAATTTTGTTATTTTTCTGCATATGATCATGAGAAAGATCAGGACACCCTTCACATTTCCAAGGAAAATCCAACCGCAAACGTCCCTGCCAAACTCCATAAAACTGCAGAGCATTGCATCACCCCAATAAAGCTGCAGGTCTCACCACATGCATCAACAAATCTACAGGGTTAAGTTTCTGTACTCCTCTTTTACAGAATTTTACACCTATTGTACCGAACAGCATTTTAAACACGGACACATCAACTCCCTAATAAAGCAAAAACAAAGGCATTTCCCTTATTAAAAACAAGATACACCATCACTTCATACACACTTATATGTGTAAGTAACTTCGGTAAGTCTTCAAACATTATTGCACTTTTAACTTTCATAATTTGACAATGCATTCAATGAAGCAATCTGCAGACAACTAGTTTTAACAGACAAATTAAAGAACACTTTTAAGCAGACAAGAACGTCCTAAATTGTTTATTAGATAAGAACTTTACAAACATCACGTATGTTAGCGGTAGCGGTGGAGCTGGAGAGTATTGCGCCTTCTCCACGCCGCACGACGAGAGCCACCGATGGTGTGGTGGAACTTGTGGCCCTTGCCCAGGCCGCGGCTCTTCCTGCCTGCAGACGTCAGCCCCCGCATCTCCCTGTGCTTGTGGACTGGTTTGGTGATCCACTGGGTGTCAGGGTTTCTTCTGATAGCTTTATGGAATGGATCAATGAGGATGACCTCAAAGAATTTGTATGTAGAATCTTCACCAACCCAGTAGGAATTCAGGACCCTCAGGGCCCCACAGTGGCGGCCAGCGCGCTCCTAAGACAGGAAACAAAGGCCCAAGGTCAGCCTTCAACACATCCCAGTAACATATTAAGACAGCAAATTCACTACACAAGAGACTAAGCCTTCTGACTTATACTACTCAAATACTCAGCATCTCCCCACAGGCTGGGATCCCAAGAGGAAAGAAGACTTAACTAGAAAATAACACAAACGTGCTTATTTGAGACCTTTCTCTTACTACCTTCTTGCCAATTAAGGTGTGAATACTAGTATCTAGCTAACCAAACTTAGTATTCTGGAACCTGGCACTTTTCTAGTACAAGAAGTGTTAGCAAACTTAAGAGAATTCTGAAAGCTACAAAGGTCTCTTCCATGGCCTCCTATGCCTTTTCTTTTAAAACAAAATACTTTTAGCTTATAGCTGGCAACAGGCCCATGTTGGACAACCTTTTCAACAGAGCATAGCTTAATATACTAACCAAGAAAGACAACTCGTAACAAGTAACACCTGGGGAGACTTCCTCTTTAAGATGTTTAATTGCCCTTTAAAAGTCTAGGCTCCACAGGTTCACATTAATTTATATTAATTAATATTAATTTATATTAATTAATAAACTATGGGAGATTCCCAAATGAAAACTAAATTCTGGTAGCAACTCAACAAGATTGCACGTTTGTGCTTAGTCGTTGTCTTTGCAACTTTTTGTGACCCCATGGACTGTGGCCCACCAGGTTCCTCCGTCCATGGGATTTTTCAGGCAAGAATACTGGAGAGGGTTGTCATTTCATCCTCCAGGGGATCTTCCCCACCCAAGGATCAAACCTGCATCTCCTGCACCCCAGGCAGATTCTTTACCACTTAAGCTGGGGGGGAGATGGGCGAGAAACCCTTTTCTGTATCATGTCAGAACCTAATTCCACGTATTTATTATGTGTTAGAAAACGGGAATTCTATCACGACAAAGCAAACTGGATGACACCGAACACAATGTTATGTCTTTCTCTTCCCCTTACAAAAGGCTTTATCTTCCCACTTGTCCAATTTTAATGTTGACGGGGAGTTGTCTTTAAAAAAATACTGCATCTATAAAGGTCTTGCACTTTTTCCCCTAAGTAGGTGTTGGAAAAGATTCACTGAGGTTAGTAGAAATAAAAATCACCAAACCACATGTCAAACACAACAGGGCTCACCTAGGTACAAATGAACCACCTAACAGCAGCCCAGATCCTTCTCCATCACCTCCAGGAGGTGACCAACACGCGCGCCACTCAAGAAGTCTCTTACCTCCGCAACCGACTGCAGGCTTCGAGCAAATTTGAGCTGGTTGACACCATGGTGGACAGGCTTGCCGTAGGTGGCACCCTTAGGAACGGGGCGTTTGCGGCCCCCGCGGCGCACACGGATCCGGTATATGACATAGCCTGTTTGAGAGCAGGACGACAGGGAGGCCGTGAGGGCGGAGGCCTCGGGACGGGTTTCCCACGCCGCCACCTCAGGCGCACCCCACCCCGGGGGCCCCCTCACCTTGCTTGGCCTTGTAGCCCAGCCTGCGCGCCTTGTCGGGCCTGGTGGGGCGCGGGGCGCGGTGCAGCGCCGAGAGCTGGCGGTACTGCCAGCAGCGCACCCGCAGCAGGAAGCGCATCACGTCTGACTGCTTCTTCCTCCACAGCTCCTGGATGTACTTGTAGGCGCCCATGTCGGCTCACCCTGGGGATACGCGGGTGTCAGACAGCACGGGCGCCGCGGGCATCCGTCCGCCTCAGCGCCCGGCGGACACAAGGCAGGGGCGGTGATGGAGCGGCGCGAGTGAAGACGCCTACTCCTCCTGGCCTGCCGGCCTCGTTTTCGAACGCCCGAGGCTCGGCTCCCCGCACCTCCCTCTCCTCCGCGCCCCGGGCCCAGCTCGGGTCCGCACCGCCATCACCGCATCCCCCACCCAGCCCGCTCCGGGGGGCCGCCTCTCCGCGCCCCGAGCTGCCCCGCGCCTTAATCAAACCCGCGCCGCGCAGGAGGCAGGAGAAACTCCCAGGACGCAGGGCCCCCGAGTCTGGATGGCCGACGTGAAAGGAGATCGGCGGCGGATGAAGCCGCGAATATCCTGACACTGCCTACCTGATGGCTGCCGCCTGACGGAAAGGACTGAACCTTTCTCCCACAATCCCTTTGGCGCTCCGCCCCCCACGACAGCAAGCCTCCTTCCGGTGGAAAGCGGCGGCGGCGCAGGGCCTCATGGGATATGTAGTTCCGACAGGGGGCCCGGGTGGGCGGAGTTCGGCCGGGATTGGGCTCGACCTGCTTCAGGGTCCCGCCCCCTGCTGCCCGGGACGCGCGCCTCAGAGCCGGCGGCGACCGTAGGCGGCGAGGTTCGGGTAGCCGAGCGTCTGCGGCCGAGAGGCAGGTTGGGGGCGGGGCTCCCGGGGCCGCGGCGCTCCCGGCCCCTGCTCGGGCCTGCGGGGGGCTGCGGGCGCCCCTCTCCCTGAACGCACGCGCGCACAGGCCGGGGGTCTTTTTACACATTCTAAGTTGAAATGGGGCGAAGGTGTAAGAGTCTCCTTTGTCGTCTAAATTAACGGGTTTGGTTAGTTTCCAACCTCCTTTCCGATCTTGCTGGTTTTTTCCCCTAGTTGCAGTGGTACCGTTGTAAAAGCCCCTCACAGGGGCTTTGATTTATCCAGTGCCTCGTGTGCGCCCAGCTGCTGGGAAGGTGGCTGGGGTTGTGGCAAAAATTCTAGCTTCTTGGAATAGGGCAGTCAACATACACATATTGTAGTCTGTGGTGAGTGCTAACGACAGACGTTGAGGAGAGTGAAGCGGTAGGGAGTATTGGGATGGAGGTAGAAATTCTGGCCGGCATCTTCAGGGTGACATTTGAGGAAAGACCTGAGCCCTGGGGCCGGATCTCAGAGGGAACAGAGCCAAGCTGTTCAGTGCCTGTGTTAGTTAACACGAGAACAGTCGTGTGGCTGGAATCTAGCCACAGGGGAACTAGCAAGCGACATCAAAGAGGTGGAGGTTCTTATGAGGACTGTGGGTTTGCAGACTTTCTGAGATTGGAAACCGCTGGAAGGGTTTGAGCAGAAGGGTGACTTCATGTGACCTACATTTTAAAAAGGATCGTTTGGGGGAATTCTCTGGCTCTGCAGTGCTTTCAAGGCCATGGCCCCGGTTCAGTCCCTGATTGGGGGGAATTATTAAAAGGTTCTACAAGCAAGCGCAGCCGAAAAAACAACAAAAGATCATTTGAAGCTAAAAGGAAGAAGGGAAAAAGCGGCCAGTTAGGAAGTTGTATTCATTTTTCTATTGTTGCTGAAACAAATTACAGCAACTTTACAGACTTAAAACAGTACACATTTGTTGTCTTACAGTTCTGTAGGTCAGGAATCTCACTAGGCTAAAATGGGGTTGTCACTTGGGCTGTGTTTCTTTTAGAGGCTCTAGAGGAGAATCCATTTCCTTTCTTTTCCAGCTTCTAAAGCATTCCGTGGCTCCTTACTCCTTCATTGGCAAAACCAGCATTGTAGCATCTTCAAATCGCTGTCTCTCTCTTTCTGACCCACTTGTCCCTCCTTGTAAAGACACTTGTGATGACTTTGGGTCCACTCAGATAAGCCGGGGTAATCTCCCCTTCTCAGGTTCTTAATTTAGTCACAACCTAAGAAGTCTTGTAACCTAGAAGTCCATGTAAAGTAGAATACTCATGGATTTGGGGAATATGACATGGGCGTCTTTGAGAGACCGCATGAGAAAGGATGGTGCCTTGGGCTACTTCATTAGTGATGGAGGCGCTAACTGGTCCAGCCATGGATGCGTTTCAAAGGTTTATTGATGGATCAGATGTGGGGTGTGAGAAACATTAGTCAAGAACTACTGATTGCAAAGTTGGGATCATCATTTGGAAAGAAGATTCTGGCAATGTGATTAATCACTGCTAATTTCTTAATTAGGTTTTGCAGTTTTGTTTCTTAATTTGCAGTGTCTCATGTAGTAATTTTGCAAGATTTGGATTGGTATTTTCAATTGATTTTGAGATTTCTGAGGGCAGTGATCATTTCTGGTTTTCCCCTCTGCTTTACCCCTAATGCTTGTCATTATGGTAATCCCTCAGTAAATATTTACTGAGTGAGTAGAAGAATGGTAAGCTGGAATGTGCTTATTGTATTTATTATGTGTAATGTAGTTTGCAAAACTCTTAATATATATTTATGTAAGTGAAATGTATTCATATATGGGTAAGTGGAAGCACTGCACACAATCCATTATGTTTACATAAACCAAGGCATAGGAGTAGAAATTTTCCTCCTGCTATGCTTACATTATAAGATCCATAATGTAGAAGAGATAATGAAGAGATCTTCATCTCTTTATGAAGTCAACAGTGTTTCAGTGTTAGTATTTTTCCGGTTGCATAAAAAAGCTGTTTTTATGCAATAAAAGCTAGTTTTTAAAGTAAAAGCTAGTTTTACTTTAAAACTAGAATGATTTCCTTAGAACAGCCGTACTGACAATTTGGGGTTGCTGTCTCCGGCGGCTCTTCCAAGAGAATACTGACAGGGCTCAGTGTTTTCAACAGGATGGATTAGATCACAGTTTTATTCTCTAGCCACGTTGTTGATTAGCCTGGAAGGCAAAGCAGTATGTATTTAAGACTGTATTGGATTTTGTCTGTTAAGCACATTTTCTTAGTCATTTATTAATACATCAGAATATCAGGGATGCATAGATCCCAGATTGAATATTATTGTCCAGCAGTTTCTTAGGGTAGGGATTGTACAAGTATCCTTAGCTACCGCTTTTGGTGTTAACCTCGTGTTGATGTGGTTTCTGGGTAAGTAGTTTCTGCGCTTGTAACTTTAGAGTGTTAGAAGGAACTTTAGAGGTCAGCTCTCTACTCTGGAGACTTTCAAACTTTCAAAGCCTGGTTTTAGTAAGCGGCTTGGCCACCCCATGTCTCTTCCTGTGACTCCCGGCCCATTTAGGGCATTGTAGATGACCTCCTTTTATATTTGGAAGGAAATGGTGCATATCTATTATGTTTGGGAATTATGGAATATTATAATGCTCAGAGAACTAAGCTTTTAGTAATTTTTGTTTATAAATATGAGTATATATAAATGTGAGAACAGTTTCCTTGTATGTCATGAAAGTCCCTGCCATCATGATCATGCATAGAAAATGAAGTGTTTTTGTGTGTATCTAATGTTATTCATTCAGAATCTTACCTTAGATGTTAATTTTTTTGAAGGATTCATACTTTTAAGAAATGAATTTTAAGAGGTATAGTTGATGTACAATATTATATGAATTTCAGGTGTATAACAGTGATTTGCAGTTTTAAGTTATATTCCATTTATAATTATTAGAAAATATTGGCTATATTCCCTGTGCTGTACAATGTATAGCCTTATAACTTATTTATTTTACACACAATAGTTTTTGCCTCAGAATTCATATTTTTTATTTGATGGTAAAGCAGGTCACTGATCTTCGGGTTTATGTAGTAGTATTGTTTTTCACGTGAAGACAACTAAGAACCTAGAATGTTTCAGGTATGTTTTAAGTAATCACACTCTTATCTTTGTTTTCTTTTTGGTGGTGTGAAATATTTACTGTGGTCTGTTCTGTTTTCTTTCTTTCCTTCTCTCCTTCCTGCAAAACCTTAAAATCCTTATCTAGTGTTTGAATTACCTCTTTTTCAGTTCCTTTTGCTGTTTGCCCTTGATGAAGTTTCCTCTGAGGTATTGAAATAACTCCTGCAATTTCTTATACACAAATACAAAATAATGCATATTTTTAACATACTTTATCTGCCAGTCACAAGTGATCAAAGTACAATTGCATTATACCACTTTTAAAGCAGATAATTAAGACTACTTCCAAAGAGTCTCAGGAATATTTGATTTCTGATTTCTCAGGAGTCTGTTGATTTCAGCATTTTTTCAGTTTTCTACAGTCCCTAGCACTCATACCCAGCTCCCTTTCACAGAGTCTATTGCTGTTAATCACTGGGCTTTTTTTTTTTTTCTCTTAAAACAGCGGCTTCCCTCAACTACAGTATGTACCTACCCTTTTAAAGCACTTGCATTTTTTTTGAAGGTTGGTATAGTATGTGGTAATGGGGGACTTTTTTGATTGAACAGTAAGGGGAGAAGGAAATGGCAACCCACTCCAGTATTCTTGCCTGGAAAATCCCATGGACTGAGGATCCTGGTAGGCTATAGTCCATGGGGTCACAAAGAGTCAAACACGACTGAGCGACTTCACTTCACTTCACTTCAAGGGGAGAAGAGGTGAGGATTGGTATTTACAAATTCTATGGGGCTGAGATGTTTTGGAGGAAGGGAAGTAACAATAGATGATAGTAGAAAAATCAGAATTTAGATTCCAGCGGCAGCCTTTCCTGACAACAGAATGAGTTTGTGCTGCCACCACTTTCTTGTTCTCTTCTCTCATAGTTAGGTGGCAACTTTCTTTAAATTGTAACCATTGTTATTATTATTTTTAATAATTCTCACTTGGCATGCAAATCCCATTAAAAACATTTTTTTATTTGGCTGCACCGGCTCTTAGTTGCAGTATGTAGGATCTTCAGTTGTGGCATGTGGGTTCTAGTTCCCTGACTGGGGATTGAACCCGGGGCTTCTGCATTGGAAGCACAGAGTCTTAGCCACTAGATCATCAGGGAAGTCCCAAATTTTAACTAATATTAAAAACCCTTTGAAAGAAAGATTAAGTAGTGTAACAGCAGACCACAGTATGGAGAGAGAGAATAGAATCCTATGATAAAGGAAATGACATTAATCACAAATTCAGAAGTATCTACAGAAAACCTTTTAATACAGGCTATAGTCGCTGACATAGGTGTTAGCATACCATAGAAGATTAGTGTTACACCAAACCCTGCCCTGATAAAGACAGACTGAGAATTTTTCTGTTGCAAGTACTCTGAAATTGAAAAGAAAGTCCCCTAAGAGAAGTGGTTCTCCTGGAAGTAGGTGATAAATACTCTTGGGAAGATTTATCAGAATGATTCCGAGGATGCCGCCTAAGAAATAATGGTTATATCACATAAGTGATGATTATTTATCTCCTGGTAAAATGTAACATACTGCTCTGGAAATGAGTACTGTGTTATTACTGCACTATAATAATAGTAGCATTAAAATATTTCATGTGATTAGTGCTGTGGCCTGATTTGGGTTATACACAGTTGTAGACTTTGACAATCTATGACAAAGGAAAGAATATATATAATGGAGAAAAAAAAGTCTCCTCAGTGGTGCTGGGAAAACTGGGCAGTTGCATATAATAGAGTGAAATTAAAACATTCCCTTACACAATATACAAAAATAAATTCAAAACAGACTAAAGATGTAAGATCAAAAACTATAAAACTCTTAGAAAACATAGGCAGAACACTCTGACATAAATTTTAGCAATGTTTGTTTGAATCTGTTTCCTAAGGCACAGGAAACAAAAGCAAAAATAAACAAATGGCACCTGTTTAAACCTGAAAGATTTTGCACAGCAGAGAAAACCATTGACAAAATGAAAACAATGTACTGAATGGGAGAAAATATTTGCAAATAATATGACTAGGGTTAATACCCAAAATATAACAATTCATTATCAAAAAAAACAATCCAATTTAAAAATGAGTGACTGATCTGAATGGACACTTTTTCAAAGAAGACATACAGGTGGACAGTAGGCACATGAAAAGATGCTCAGCGTCATTCATCATCAGAGAAATGCGAATCAGAACCCCAGTAAGAGATCACCTCTTATCTGTCAGAATGGCTGTCATCAGGAGGTCTGCAAATAACACATGTTGGTGAGGAACTGGAGAAAAGAAGACCCTCCTACACTGTTGATGGGAATGTAAACTGGGGCAGCCACTGTGGAGAACAGTATGGAGGTTTCTCACAAAACTAAAAACAGAGCTATCATATGAGTGAGCATTTCCACTCCTGGGTTTATAGCCTAAGAAAACAAAAACAAATTTGAAAAGATAACTATACCACAATGTTCACTGCAGCATTATTTACAACAGCTGAAATACGGAAGCAACCCAAGTGTTCATCAACAGATGAATGGATAAGGTAGACATGGTATACACACACAGTGGAATATTACTCAGCCATGAAAAAGAACGACATTTTGCCATTTACCACAACATGGGTGGACCTGGAGGGTATTATGCTTACTGAAATAAGAGACAAGGACAAATATTGTAGGTTACCACTTACATGTGGAATTTAAAAAAAAAACAGACTAGTGAGTGTAACAGGAAAGACGAGAACTCACAGATAGAACGAGCTAGTGGTTACTATGGGGAGAAGGAAAGGGGAAGGGGCAATATAGGAGTAGGGGATTAAGAGGAACAACTTTTATACAACTTACGTAAATATAAGTAATCTAAAAGGATATATTGTGCAGTATAGGGAATATAGCCAATAGTTTATAATAACTGTAAATGGAGTATAATCTATAAACATTTTGAATCTTTTTACACTTGAAACTAATATTGGGAATCAGTTATGCATCTTGTGCGGGCTCAGTTGTGTCTGGCTCTCTGCAGCCCTGTGGACTATAGCCTGCCAGGCTCTTTGCATGGAGTTTCCCAGGCAAGAATACCACAGAGGGATCTTCCTGACTCAGGGATTGAACAGTCATCTCTTGTGTCTCCTACATTATCAGGTGGATTCTTTACCACGAGTGTCACTTGGGAAGGCCCAAGGAAATCAGCTATACCTCAGTTTAAAAAAATTACAGACTTTGAGAAAGTAAAGAAGGCTGATGGAAAGTTCTTTTTCACTTAGTGTTTTAGATCTTGGTTAAAAACGAGTGGTGTGCGACTTGTGCATATAGAAAGATGTCCACAGGTCTCTTTTATTGGATGCTTATTTGAACATTTTTGTTTTCTGCCTTGAAGGAGGTGTGGCATCCTTTTTAAGTCAGAGTTATTGCATGTTCCACACTTCTGCTTTTGTTGTTATTTAGTCACTCAGTCATGTCAAACTCTTGTGACCCCATGGACTTTAGCCCTCTAGGTTTCTCTGTTCATGGGATTTCCCAGGCAGGGATACTGGAGTAGGATACTGGAGCATTTCCTGCTCCAGGGGATCTTCCCAACCCAGGGGTTGAACCCACGTCTCCTATCGTGGCAAGTGGGTTCTTTACCACTGAGCCCCCTGGAAAGCCCATCCACTCTTCTAGGTAAGAGAACTGGAGAACATGATGATTAAGGTTTGTGTTGGAAGGTGGCAAAAGGCAATGTGGAAATTTAAATTCTCTTAGCAGGCTATTTTGTTGTAGTTAATGAGTCTTTTTTCCGTTTCTGTCTTGTCTTCTGTTACCTTGCCTTCTGGAAGACAAAAAAAACCTTGAGGAAAATTCAATAATATGTTACCTGATCTCTCTCTTCCTTGATATCTGAGGAAGCAAGGAGGAATGAGTTTTCCTTTTCTTTCGGTTTAAAGTGCCTGAGCAATTTTTCTAGCATGAAGAACCATGACTCAGAAAGAATTGTGACTAAGACAGCCCCAAATGCAGTATCTCACTCTCCTGAGGAAAGACTAACATTGGCATTGATGGTGTTAATGCTTTTTTTTAAAAAAATGATGTTCATCCTCTATCCAAATTTTTAGTGATGTCCATTCTCTACCCAAATTTTTATCTTCATGGCTCCTTAAAGTTTTACTTAAGTGCTTGTTTTTCCAGGTAGACATTGATGAGCAGGCAGTCTTTCAAGGATTGGATTTATCTCGGATTCTGTTTGGATTGCTGCAGACTTTAATTAATATTGAAATAGTCTTTATATAAGATGTGTCTATTCTTTTTGATAACAAGCATGTTTATACGTGTATTCTTGTATTTCTCTCGGTTACCTCTGCAGGGGTATACACGGAACCATAGCAGTGATTGCTCTGAGGGAGCATGTGGGAACCAGGGAACGGAGTTTGGAAGAATAAACTTTATTCTGTATCTTTTTTTATACTTGCAATACCCAGTATCCCCCTGTGTACATGTTATTAATTACATTGAAACATAAAAAGGAAAGGATTTTTTTTTCTTTTCTTTTAAAGATCTTCTCTTCTCTTCACAGTGATCTCCGAAGAGAAGATGGGGAAAGGCTGCAAGGTCGTGGTCTGTGGCTTGCTCTCTGTGGGGAAAACGGCGATCTTGGAGCAGCTCCTTTATGGGAATCATACTATTGGTAAGATTTTTTTTCTCTAGTTTCCCTGTAGGCTCTGGGAACTGATTGGGACCTTTGGTTGGCCGCGCTGACCTAGAGATGGGTGAGGTGTCATCTAGAGGGACTGGGAGGGTTGTAGAAGTCGACAGAGACTGAAGGGGTATGTAGGGGCAAGGAGAAAACGTTTTTATATTGTCGACATTCAAGAGTGCTTGTACTCACTCTGTTAGAACAGGAGTTATAACAGGCAAGACAGTGTTGTCTGTGGTTTCCAGTAGATTATTTACATCACGAATAGCAGTCTTGGAGTCACAGACTCACTGACTTCAAGATACATTGAGCTCTCATTTTTATTTCATACATGACTTTCCAATACTGCCGAATGGGTTTTAAGAATGGAAGAGACAGCTGTTTGCTGCAGTATGACCTACTTTTGTGAATTGGATTATCTCATTCATTTATCCATTCATTGAGTTAAAAATTGTTCTGTACTTCCTCTGTGATCCAGGCTATGATGAGGCCTCTCTGGCTTTAAGGAGGTCACAGACATAACAGAATGAAATGAGGCTTCTCTTAGGTAGAATCATGGATCTTTGAAGTGTTTGTCAGTGGCAAGAACCCTGGAGCACATTTCTATCTCATTTTTATTAACCATTTTGATGAGCTCTGATTCTCTTCTACCTTCCCAAAATAATATTTAACAACTTTGGTTAATTCCACATTCGGTTTTTATTATGATGCCTGCATCAGAAATTCCAAAAACCTTTTGATTTCCCCCAAACCATCACTCCTGTCATAAATGCTGCATTAACAGTTCTGAATTTTTTACCCTCAGATTCTAATTTGTACAAAAAACAAATTATGCCTAAGGGGGGAAAAAAGAATCCCTTTATCCTGTCAGAACCCCCACAGCTTTTGTTTATGTAGGCTATGTCTTATGACATTTCTATTACATTAGAAATTAAAACTGAGGAAAATTTTAAATGCACTACTTAAAGTAAGAACAATACATCTATTACATGCTAAGGGAACACATTTTTATGAAAAATAATTCTATTTTCAAAAACAATTTAGTGAGAAGACAATTGTTGATTTGCATTTCTGAAAATCAAATGTCCAGCCGAGTAGAAGACGGCTGGATTATCATAACCGATTGCGTCTGAATTCAACCTGCTGTTGTGTGTTGTTTTAGTTGAAATATGTGAAGAACATCTGGCCTCACACAAGTGTATGGTTGAAAAAGGTATGAGTATTTTAATAGCTTTGCAGATACTTCAGGATTTGCTTCTTTGATATTTCACTAAAATTAGGGTCATTGATAGTTACTTGAAGGTTACACAGTGTGAACCTTTAAAACCACATCAGTGAACTTGTATTACATTAAAATCACATTGATCTATCTTGCACATCAAATGGATTTTTTACCCAAGCATGGTTTTTTATCATGAATGGGTCATTTTGAAAATACTGGTTAACTTAGATAAGCAGATCTTCCGAATAACATTTGTTGATGTCATCACCAATCTCATCGGCACTGGGAGGCTATCGAGTTTATGCCGATGGATACAGTTCTCCTTTTTGCTTGAAAGCTCACAAATTTGATCATTAACCACACATATTGTCAGTTATCTTCCTGGAAATGATAGACTCGTTTATTCATCTTTGAGAAAATGTCTGTCAAATTCCCAAAAAAACCCATGGCTTTTTGTGTGTCATTTCTTAAAAAAAAAGCCTAGTTCAGCTTGCAGTTCAGACACAAGAACTCTTCCTCCAGACAGTCAGCATTACTCCTTAAGTGAAATACTTAATGCAGACTTCCCATTAATCACGTAGAATTTTGAAAAGATGTAAAGATACATACTCAAGATTGGGATTTAATAAATTTTGTCATTTTTCTGGCTTTATCAGGGACATTTTTAGATGAAATTGACTTTTCCTTTTTAAACTGCATTAGGAGGTGGTGAGGAATTCAGCCACCAAGACAGTTGGTGCCCCTGCCTGAATTTGTGCTAAGCCAATGTGGTTTTACCCACCGTTACTTTTGCATCATCAGCAAATGTCAACATAGTGCAAAAGGTGATTGCTTAGCGTTGTTACGAAAAAAGTTTTGCCCCGTTGTGTTGTGTTTAGTCGCTCACTCATGTCTGACGCTTGGCCCGTGTGGGTTCCCTGGAAGGAGACCTCAAGGGATATCTGTCAGACCACACCTTGAGGACTGCCGGCACACGTGGATGTTCTCAGCTGAGCAGCGTCATGTACTGTGTTTCCTTTCTTTCTTTCTCTGTTTATGGAGGCGAATATTTGCCCTGTTCATCATTTCTATAGTTTTGTTTATACCTTTTCCTAATTCTTATGCATGTCCGGATGTTTCTCTTTTCTGTGACGTCTGCTGTATCAGATAATCCCCCACCACACATGTACACACACACGCACACACACTTTTTGGTGAGATCTGGGAGCTGGCATTCTCTGGGCCTGTTGCACAACTATCACCACAGGACTTCCCTTGACTTCTTTCTTCTCTCTGGGTTTCAGTTCCTGTATCTAGACCTTTTGTCATCTTTTTGCTGGAGCAGATCTTCCAGTTGTTTTTTTGGGTTAAAAATGTTTCACGATGAAATGAGGCCTTGGGCGATGACAGCCTCAGATAGCCCTGTGCCTGGTGCAGTCTAACCCTGGGGCTTCCGAATAAAGCTGTTTACTGTTATTATCCCTGTGATTCTTTCTGCCAGAAACGAGGGTTTGACCCCTGGGTCGGGAAGATCCCCTGGAGAAGGAAATGGCAACCCACCCCAGTACTCTGACCTGGAGAATCCCATGGACAGAGAAGCCTGGAGGGCTACAGTCCATGGGGTCGCAGAGTCGGACACGACTGAGCACACACATGCTGAGGTGGTTTTCCGAATCTAATGTCTTCCTGTGATTACATGCTGTTTTTTAAATGCTTTGACTACACTGCGAGGCGTGCGGGGTCTTAGTTCCTGACCTGGGATTCCTCGCCCCCTGCATTGCAAGCGCTGAGTCTTAAGCCACTGGACCTCCATGGGAGTCCCACAACTCTCTTTTTTGGATGCTGGATCTTCTGGACTAACCCTCTTGATTTTTAAAATTTCTCCTCTCCTGTTTTCTGTCTCTCAGTGTTTGGTTCTACGTTATGGGAATTTTCCTTAGCTTTATTTTTTAGCCCTTATATTCAGTTTTCTTTTCTTAGTATCCTGTTCTCATTTCATGAATGCACTGTCTTCTCTCTCTAAATGTAATATTTGGTAGTTTTTTGTTTGTTTGTTTGCTTTTCTTTGCACAGTCTCTTTCTTTTCAGGTGCTGTTTCCTGATTTTTGGTCTCTTCCTCGGGTGTCTGCTAATCCTTGGTTGTCTGCTTAGTAGTTAAGAATGGCGAACTGAAAAGCTAATTAAAGCTCTAAGCCATGGGTGGGATTCATGACTTTGCTTCATTATAAGGTGACCTGGGTGGGGCATTTGTCATTAAGAGTTAACCCCCCCCCCAAAAAAAAACGAGTTAACCCAAGAGGTTAGCATATTTAGGGTTTTTAACTTTTTCACTGGTCCGATTCCCCAGCTTCCTCTGCCTGGAGGGTAAAGAGCTGGCCCCACAGCTTGGGAGCAGGTCACTCACTTGCCCCCGTTTCCACCGTGCCCTCTGTTCGCCTCTGCAGCAGCTTCTCTTTTTCCTTTCCAGAGTGCAGCTTAGTCTCCCGCTGGGATGGGGCAGCATGGAGTGGGAGAGGTGATCCGGAGAGCTGGCGAGGAGTCTGACTTCACACAGTTTATAGGATGACAAAATCTCAAAAAGTCTAAGCTTAATGGAAGGAAGGGAACCAGACTGGCTTTTGGCGGATAAAACATCCACCATGACCAAAGTCTTGGTAGTTTTTGTTTTAAAATTTTTTTGTAATCAAAGCTCTGCCAAGTTTGTGTCTTCACGGACTGCCTCTCACACTAGTCATTGAAATTCAGACTGTTCATTTTCTCGTCTTAACCTCCTTGTCAACAAACCGTTGTTGAATACTTAGCGTGTATTCAGTGGGTGTTTCTCTCAAGGAAGTTACGGACGAGTTGCAGAGACAAAATGCACACAGATGGAGCAGAGTAAGACTGCCCGTTTCAAGGTCATCATTCTGGCGAGCAGGGGGATGAAATTGGGGCACCAGGTGTGAGCTCACTCACTCATTCATTTCACTCAAATGATCTCTGAGGACTTTCTACATCCCTAAGTCGATTTGTTGGTTCTCAGAACTAGAGAGAGATTAGCCACAGTCCTGGCTCTTGAGGAGTTTACTTCTGGTTTCGGGGGGGACAGATATGAAAAGATGGACGGGTGAAATGGTCCTACATGTGCAAGACACAGGAAGCGCAGGATGGAGAATAAGAGGATAACCCAAAGAAAAGCTACAGAGCTGACATCTCAGCAGAGTCTGGAGAGGATGAGGTGTTGCCCAGGTGTTGCCTGAGCTGTTGGTAGTGGTTCCGGAGAAGGGCACAGCCAGGGGAGTGGGAGCTGGCGGTGGATGGAGCAGAGATCGTAGCCCTCGGGGCGCTGGCTTGGGACCATGTTCACCCACCCATGTTCACCAGTCCCCTGGTGGGTCAGCTGGGAAAGAATCCACCTGCAATGTGCGAGACCTGGGTTCCATCCCTGGGCTGGGAAGATCCCCTGGAGAAGGGAAAGGCTCTCCACTCCAGTACTCTTGCCTGGAGAACCCCATGGACAGAGGAGCCTGGGGGGCTACAGGCCCTGGGGTCCCAGAGTCAGAGACGCCTGAGTGAGGGCCTTCCACTCTCACCCATGCTTCCTCCTTCTGAGAGAACACTTGGGACTGGGCAGATGGATGGCGATCCCGGGACAAAGCAGGAGGGCCACGGGTGGGCGGACGGGTAGAGTCTCCTTAGTGTGGGGACATGGAAGACGCCACACAGACGCGCACGGGGGGCACTGGGGAATTAAGGCCTGGTGCTTAGACCCGGACTGGACATGTTTGAGTTCTTTAAACAGACCCTGGAAATAGTGGAAGTTGTACAGAGAAAAATCAAGATTACCCAAGTCCTGTCCTTGACTCTGATGAAGAAGAAAACAGGGCCACTTAGTTGTTGAAACTACTTTAAAAATCAGACTTTAATTTCCATTTTGGACATTAAGTTCTCTGACTTGTAAGTTACTTTTTTAAAAATAAGTAATAGTAAATCTCATTGCCAAATTTTTATCTTTTATTCCTTTATGGAAATATATATATATCTATATATATATCTTTATCTTTTATTCCTATATGGAAGAAAGAATCTTAACTACTTTTCATTTTAAATAAGTTAATAAGTGGAAATATGATTCTTAGGTATAGTAAATAAGGAACCTAGAAAGCCAACTTGTACATGATGAGAAAATACTCAAAAATTTGTAGAGTTGTCCAGAAACTAATAGCTTTTTAAAAAATGGAGATGAAGTTGACGTAACATTATTAGTTTCAGATGGATAATGTAATGATGTGATATTTGTATATACAGAAGTAATTTCTAGGGACTTACCTGGTGGTCCAGTGGTTAAGACTGCCTCCCAGTGCAGGGGCTGTGAGTTCAGTCCCTGGTCGGGGAGCTGAGATCCTACATGCCAGGCAGCCAAAAAGTAGAGGCACTATTGTAACAGGTTCAGTAAAGGTTTAAAAAATAATAATTTGCCTTTCATCCCAGGAATAGAGGACTGTGAGACAATGGAAGATGTGTACATGGCATCAGTGGAAACGGATCGAGGGGTCAAGGAACAGTTGCATCTGTATGACACCAGAGGCCTGCAGGAAGGCGTGGAGCTGCCCAAGCATTATTTTTCATTTGCCGACGGCTTTGTTCTTGTGTACAGTGTGAATAACCTTGAATCCTTTCAAAGAGTGGAGCTTCTGAAGAAGGAGATTGATAAGTTCAAAGATAAAAAAGAGGTAAGTGGGGCTGTTTAAAAAAAAAAAAGCCAACTGTGAATTCTGTCTAAATTGTAGCATGGACTTCTGGGCAATTAAAATGTTTTAAAAGCTTTCAGTTGTATTCACAATATCTGTAATCTTCATGATTTTTTTTTTCTTAGCCCAGGAAATACAGAGCTGACATGTTCACCAGGACCAGCACTTGACTCTCTACCTTTCCTTGTTTCCATGTATAAGTTGAATTTTAGTGACTCCGTTTCTCACATACATAGTTCATTTCATATCATTTGGGACCACTGTATCCTAGGGCTTTTTATTGTCTCTTTGAATAAATAGGATTGTCTTCAGCCTTAAAAAGAAAAAAAAAAAGGAAAGAAATGGAAAAAAAATGACTAATGACTGGGTTCTATTGATTTGCCACTTGAAAATAAGATTCTCACTGTGGTCTGTGAAGTCCTCGATGATCCAGCCCGTGTCTGTCCACGTAGCATTGTTCCCCTGTCCCCGTGCCCCAGTGACACTCCAGGGGTCTACTTTCTGCAGAATTTTTCAGCAGGATATTTTTGTCCCCCCAGAAGTCCTTCTCAGTCACTGGTTCCCCAGCCTGGAGCTGTCTTGTTGCAGGTCTTTCTCCAAGTCAAGACCACCTTCCCAGTGCCTAGGGAACCATGTCATGAACCTGTTAACCTAATTTTTATGTATTTTTTCATGTCAAACTTTTAATTTTGAGATGATTGTAGATTCACATGGAATTTTAATAAACAGCAGAGATCCCTCACTCAGTTTCCCCCAATGCTGGTAACATCCTGCAAAACCATTGTAGAATAGGGCTTCCCTGCTGGCTCAGTGGTAAAGAATCTGCCTGAAATGCAGGAGACACGGGTTTGATCCCTGAGTCGGGAAGATCCCCTGAAGAAGGAAATGGCAGCCCACTCCAGTATTGTCGCTTGGAGAATCCCACGGACAGAGGAGCCTGGTGGGCTGCAGATAACGGGGTCACAGAGAGTCACACGACTTAGTGACTAAACAGTAACAGCAGCGTCGTAGATAACGCAGCGGGACGCAGCGGAGACACTGACGCTGATACAGCTGGGGCCCCCAGCGCTGCAGGGCTTCCTCAGGACCTCTTCTGTCCCCACGCGTCCCCGCCCACCCTCCCTCCGTCAGTGACTTACCTGTTCTCCATTGCTGTAACCTTGTCATGTTGACATACGTGGAACTGTAGTTTGTAACTAACCCTTCAGTCACACACTGCGCTGTAGGTAGGATTTTCTTGCTCTGTTCTGTATGTGAAGGCTCGCACCTGCTGACCCCGCCCTCCCACTCTGTCCGTCCCCCGGCCTTCTCCCCTCGACAGCCACAGGTCTGTTCTCGGTGAGTCTGTCTCTGTGTCCGACAGGTTCATCTGCGTCATGTTTTAGACTCCACATGTAAATGATTTCCAGTGGTATTTGCCTTTTTTCTTCAGACTGACTTCAGTTAGTTCGACCATCTCTAGGTCAATCCATGTTGCTACGATGGCATTATTTTGTTTTTTTATGGCTGGGTAATACTCCGTTGAATATATATACATGATGTCTTTATCCATTCACCTGATGATGGGCATGCAGGTTATTTCCAGGTCTTGGCTACTATGAATAGTGCTGCTTTCAACGTAGGAGTGCATGTATCTTTTTGAATTTGAGTTTTCTCCAGATATATGCCCAGGATGGAGCATTCGGAATCCTATGATTAATCTATTTTTAGTTTTTCAAGAAGCCCCCACACCGGCAGCTCCAGCTCACCTTTCTGCCGGCAGTGTAGAAGGGCTCCTTTTTCCCCACGCCCTCCTCAGCATGTTGTGCATAGACTCTGACATTTTTATTCCTTTATTCCTGCCTGGGCTGGGTCTTGTTGCTGCACGGGCTTCAGCAGATGGGGCGCGCGGGCTCTGCGGCTGGGGCGCGCGGGTGTAGCTGCTCTGTGGCGGGTGGGATTTGCCTGTGTCGGGGTGGAGCCCGCGTCTCCTGCATGGGCAGGCAGACTCTTTACCGCCGAGCCAGCAGGGAAGCCCATTTCCAGGCTTTTTAGTGAAGCCCTTCTGCCCTGGGTGAGGTGGTAGCTCAGTGTAGTCGAGTTTGGACAGCAGACGTTGCAGGTGTGGGCTAACACTGTTCTGGTGAGGGGCCGGGGACACAGGAGACCGTGGAACAGGCTCTGCTTCACAGAACCGCTGGCGGGAGGCGGGAGACGGGAAGGCCTCCCTGAGGACACTGCTCGCTGAGATCCGGGGACGCGACGGGCGCCTGGCTGGCATCCGGAGGGGCTGCTCCGGGCGGGCCCGGCTGAGGCTGGGGCGGCGCCTGTCAAGCTGGGGGCGGCGGGCGGTGAGGGTGGCGGCTGAGGGCGCCTCTGGGTGGAGGCAGAGGGAGGGCAGGGTGTAGCCGGGGTTACATGACTTATTTTCATGTTTGTTTTTAAGAAATTGAAACGAAAAAAAAGAAAAATTGAAACGGGCAATGTTTGCGCATGGTTCAAAAATTAAAAGGATACATCAAAAGGACTCCTGTGAACTCTGGTTCCCACCTGTCCTCAACCATCCATTTCTGGTACCCCAACTGTGCTTTTTAAATATTTTCCCATCTTCCTAGTCGAGGGGCACCCTTGCAGAGTTTCTTCATATAAATACAAGCAAAAAAAAATGTACATACCTTTTATTCTTCTGTTATACCAGAGGCGGCTTATGGTTCTACACCTTGTATTTTTCATGTAATCCCTAGCAGTACTCAGGATTCCTTTTTTGTTTTTTTCTTTAAAAACTGATGCCTGGTATCCATTGTGTGACTATGGATGTATCATATGTAATTAGCCTCGGGCTGATGGACACAGGATATCTCGGGTCATGTGCTGTTATGAACCATGCTACAGTGAATAATCTTAGACTTTTATTATTTTCTACGTTTTAGCACATAGTTGAAGATCCACCAGCAGAAGTTAGGATCTTGTGAAGTCGCTCAGTCATGTCCAACTCTCTGTGACCCCATGGACTTGTAGCCTACCAGGCTTCGTCCATGGGATTCTCCAGGCAAGAATGCTGGAGTGGGTTGCCATTTCCTTCTCCAGGAGATCTTCCCGACCCAGGGATTGAACCTGGGTCTCTCGCATTGCAGGCAGACGCTTTACCGTCAGAGCCACCGGGGACGTCTCGAGGGTAAGGACAGTGCCCAGCTGCCATCCCTAGGAATACAGAGAAAGCGCCTGTTGTGCACTCTTGACAACACTGTGCTTGAGTGTCTGGATTCCGTGACTCTTCTGGGTGAAGGGTGTTTTTGTAGCTCCGTTTTTCCTTCATGTGAAGGAAGTTGAACTTCCTTTCGACTTAGTTTTAAACTGATCGCTCTATGCTGACTCTGGCCTTGGGGGACAGGGTGCGAAGCTGGGTTTACTGCACTAGCGCGTTCTCAAGCACGCCGACCTTCAGTGGTTGGCACCGAGGGGACCGCGGCGGCGGAGTCTGCACCGGAAGTGGCCTCTGATGCAAGAGGAAGACAACGGATGAGGGCAAAGAGACCGGGAGGCAAGAGCAGTCGGCGCTTCAGAAAGCAGGGAGTGACCAGGCTCTGTCAGATGCTGAAGGCAGATCAAGAAAGCCGAACGCGGAGCAGTTTAATGACGTTGAGATGAAGTCTGATGGACCGGCAGTGAGGGAGCTGAGCACAGCAAACAGCTCTTCAAGAGCCTGGAGGCAGAGGGTGAACGTCTGTCCCAGAGAGGGGCAGGGCTTCCCACGGGCGTGGTGGTCAAGAACCCGCCTGCCCGCGCAGGAGACACGGGAGACACGGGTTCGATCCCTGGGTGGGGAAGATGCTCTGGAGGAGGACATGGCAGCCCAGTCCAGTATTCTTGCCTGGAGAATCCCGTAGACGGAGGAGACTGGCGGGCTACCATCCATGGGGTCGCAAAGAGTCAGGACTGAAGGGAGACCGACGGGAGCTGGGAGGATGCTGAGAAGGTTTTCTCGGATGAGACAGTGGTGTTTGTATGTAGGATGGCTCAGTGGAGAGGCACGGGAGCGAGGGGACGGTTGGCGGAGCGACACCCGATCCGGAGCGACACCCGATCCTAGAGAGTGGACGTGGGCTTAGAGGGTGAGGGGGGCGGTTAGGTGCGGTGGTGAAGTACACGGAAGTTCCCTTCCCGTTGCTTCTGCCTTCTTGCTGAAAGCGTGGACGTCAGCGGAGGAGAGGGGGGAAGGCGGAGGCACACTGGAGGCCGGAGGAGGCGGCCGCGGCGGCAGGGACGAGAGGGGAGCGCGCCGCCTGGGCCGGCACCGCCCTCGAGGTCGGGCTTCCGAACGGGGACCGCCGGCAGGTAGTTCTCCAGCCACATGAAGTAGACGCTGTGGGCACACAGTGCGGTTGAGTTCAACTTGGAGCTTCCCTGGGGGGCTTGGTTGTTGAGACTCTGCCTGTCAGTGCAGGAGACAGGGTTCGCTCCCTGATCTAGGAAGATGCCGTGGAGCAGCTGCACCCGTGCACCAAGTCCTGAGACTGGTCTGCGACCCGGGCGCCGCGGCAGAGAAGCCTCCGTGGGGAGAGGCCCGGAGCAGTGGGGACCCAGCTCGGCCAGATGCACGGGCCCGTTCAGAAAAAAAGCTGCTAATGAACTGGGTGGGGGCGTGATCCAGGTGATCACGATGTCAGGGCGGTGGGCTAGAGGAGCCTAGGCTGAGGGGCGCCGGGAGGCGGGTGAGGGCGGTGGGTCCCTGCGGTGTTCAGGGCGCCCGCACTCAGGGTGCTGACCGGGGTCAGGGCGATGGTTAGCCTGTGTGGAGAGGGTGCTGAGAGGCGGCTCCCTAAGGGTAATCCACTCCACCCCGCTGAAGCGTCATGACGGGTGGCGCGTGCGGTGACCAGGCGCCACTGGGCGATGAGCGTCGGGGGCGGCCCTGAGCCGAGGGGACGCAGGAGAGGCCTCTGTGCAGACGCCGGCCGCGGGGACGTCTGCTGGCAAAGCGCGCCGCCTCTGCGGCCCCGAAAAGCGGGTGACAAGGGGGTGGGAGCGCCGGGAGGGCGGCTCCTGCTGAGAAACGGCCGTTACAGACCGGCCGGGAAGACCGGGCTCCGGACGCTGCTCCGTCCCAGCGAGACGGCCACAGAGAGGCCGGGCCGCCCGTGGGTCCGAGCTGTCCCCCGCCGCCTCTCCTGAGCAGGCCTCTCAACACCCGGGTGCCGTTTCCTGCTCCCGGCTTTGACTGCCCCGTGACTGCCGCTCGCGTCGCCCGCGTGTGCCCTGCGCGGCAAGTGTCCCACTGAGAAGGCTCGCCCGCCCCGCCTTTAATGCACAGTGTTCCCGCTGGGGCACGCGCTCAGCAGGTGTTTCAGCGCCCGCCTCAGGCGCTTGGCCGTGACTCGGATTACCGTGAGTGGAGTGGGCTGAGCCAGGTCCCCCGGGGTGCAGACCTCTCCCGGCTCCAGGCGCCCTGTTGTGTTTTCAAGGACACCTCTCAGATCTCCCAGACAGCAGGTAAGAGCTAAACTGAAATGCAGGCACGTTTCGGTCAGACGTTATCTGTATCCCAGGCATTGATTTCCCCAGCCCGCCTTCCATTCACACCCGTTATTTCACCGGTTACAGCGTCTCACAGCCGCCCGCAGCGCACTCCTGTTTTTAACAAAAGGCACATGTAAGCAGCGAGGTGCTGCCCCGCCGTCTCACCACGCAGGTCACCTCTGAAGCGGTTGGTTACAGGGTACAGCCTCCCTTCTCCGTTTGGTCTGGGAGCTGACGCTGCAGTGTGACCTTTCCCCCTGCCCCTCCTCCAGGTGGCGATCGTGGTTCTAGGGAACAAGATCGACCTTTCCGAGCAGCGACAGGTGGACGCCGAGGTGGCGCAGCAGTGGGCCAGGAGTGAGAAGGTGCGCCTGTGGGAGGTGACGGTCACCGACCGCAAGACGCTGATTGAGCCCTTCACCCTGCTGGCCAGCAAGCTCTCCCAGCCCCAGAGCAAATCCAGCTTCCCTCTGCCCGGCAGGAAAAACAAAGGCAACTCGAGCTCGGAAAACTAGAACTGCAGACGCGCCCGCTGTTCGGTCAGCTGGGACTGCCTCTAGCTGTCTGTGAACACGTTCAAGCGAGGCCGTTTGTCTGCCTTGGTCCTTAGGAAGCCTCGGATGCACTTTCAGTTATCATTAACTTACTTGGGCTAAGCTGTATTGTTGCCTGACCAGAAATCATGCATTTGCACCCTCACTGTTTGAAACTTGTCCCTGAATTGAGCTATTTATTTACATTCTGTTGTACTTATTAAAAGAATAAAGCTTGGCTGTATGCAGATGACCCAGTAGCTCTGCTCACCTTTAACCTTTCTCAGAAGCAGTCATCCTGTGTCACTTCATGCAGACTTCCAAGCGTCTGTCTCCTGTCTAGTGTTCTAAAATGACAGCTCACTGTGTCCAGATTGGATCACAAACAGTAAACTGGAGTACTGAGTTAAGCTAAACTGGTGGAGATCTTGCTAAACAGAACAAAATGTGTGATTTAACTTTGTTGAAATTATGTTGAGCATGAATTGAGTAGGTGGTGTAAATACGTTCAAACCGGTTCTTCCTTCTTTAGGAAGCTGCTAAACACTAGTAAAGCTTCCATTCTGCACAAGTCAAAGTTACCATAACTACTTGGAAAGTAAGAAGCCAGCTACTTAGTCATTTCAACCTTGAAAGCAGTTAACTATTGGTTTTAAATGAGATGTTGTCCAGCAATAATAATAATGTTAAAAGGTCTACTAAACAGTAGTTATCTTGAATACTTTTTAAGATGATGAGGTTCAGTGAATTTAAACTCAACTGGCTCAGTTCAATGACTGCAAGGCAAGAACTATGGCATAGAAGATGCAAACTTACACGGTGGCGGCACTGGCCAATTTATAATTAATGTTTCTCATCACTATTTTGTGTTTTGGTAAAAGAACTGTCACTCAGATGGTTAAATCATTCCCTGCCTTCTCTCCTAGTTACTGTGTTGAACCTCTAGCCTTTTTTTTTAAACACAGATAAATACTTTTATTAGTTATTTAAAGCTGAGATGGTAAAGAATCCGCCTGCCATGTGGGAGACCTGGGTTCGATCCCTGGGTCGGGAAGATCCCCTGGAGACTGGAAATGCTACCCACTGCAGTATTATTCTTGCCTGGAGAATCCCATGGTCAGAGGAGCCTGGTGGGATACAGTCCATGGGTCACAAAGAGTCAGACACGACTGAGTGACTAAACATAGGTCACAGAATTTAAAAGGAATATATGGGGGTGGGGGGGCTTTCCCTGGTGGTCCAGTGGTTAAGACTCCACGCTCCCCCTGCAGGGGGCAGAGGTTCAAGTTCGGGAACTAAGAACCCTCACGCCACAGTGTGGCCAAACCCCACAAAATACATCCTGCAGTTTGCTCCTCTGCTGAACTCAGCTTGGCTCTGTTAGTGCGCAGCATGAGGATGTTTTTTTTAAACACGTAATGAAGGGACATGAACCTCCACTCTGGACCCTGCAACTCCTTCTCCTGTGGCTGTAGTTACTTCTCCACGAGAGCCCACTTCTCATGTGGTGATACTAGGTTGGTGCAAATGTAATTCGGTTTCAGACCGTGAATTTCAAATCATTGTAACTAGGCTCAAACACATCTTTATTAACCAAATCAGGAACCATTACACTCAGCAGTTTAACCCATGAGATTTGGGACTTGTCACCCCAACTTCCTAGTGGCTAAGACTCTGCTCCCAACACAGGGGATCCAGGTTTGATCCCTGGTCGAGGAACTAGCTCCCACATGCTGTAAGTGAAGATCCAGAGCAAATAAATATGACAAAAAGTAGATGTTGTAAGGGGACAAATTGACACGGTGCCTTGAGAAGGACAGCATCACCCCCAGGGTGTTCCTAAAGGTACACAACCTCAATCAAGTCACAAGGCAATGTGAGACAGACTCACATCAAGAGAAAAGCTACAAAAAAAACAGTAGGTCTAAGCTCTTCTGAAATGATGATGTCGGCAAAGACCACAAAGGAAAAAAGGCCCTAGAGACGGTTATCACCCTAAGTGAAGGAAGTCAGAGACAATCTAGTATCACTGACATGTGGAACCTAACATGGTACAAATGAACTTACTTACAGAACAGAAACAGATGCATAGACTTCGAAAACAAACTATGGTTACCAGGCGGGAGAGGTGGGGAGGGATAAATTAGAAGTTTAGGATGAACAGATAGACACTCCTATATATATAATAGATAACCAACAAGGACCTACTGTGTAGCACAGGGAACTGTATTCAGTACCTTGTATTAGGTTGGTGCCAATGTAACTGTGGCTTTGGACTGTGAATTTTAAATCATTGTAACTAGGCTCAAACACATCTTTATTAATCAAAATAGGAACCAGTACAATCAACACATTTTTGCCAACAAAAAAATAAACTGTTTATTCCTGTAGCATAAATATCTGTGCTTCGCATCCAACTAATAAAAATAGATGGAAAAAAAAATCTGTGCTGTGGGATTCCATGAACTCTTGGAAAGCATTTTCTGCCTCCTGATGGTTGTGAAACAGTTTTCCCTGCAAAAAGTGGTCAAGATGCTTGAAGAAGTGGTAGTCGATTGGTGAGAGTTCTGATGAATATCGTGGATGAGGCAAGATTGTGCGCCATTTCGTTCAACTTTTGAAGCGATGGTTGTGTTACGTGCAGTGAGTGTTGTCGTGGAGGGAATCGGGATCAATGCCGGCCACAGGCATTGCGGTTTTCAGTGCATCTCACTGATTTGCTGAGTGTACTTCTCAGATGTAATGGTTTCACCAGGATTCCGAAAGCTGTAGTGGGTCAGGCCGGCAGGAGACCACCGAACAGTGCCCAGGAGCTTTTTTGGGGCAAGTCTGGCCTTGGGAGTGCCCTGCAGCTTTTTCTCAGTCCAGCCACTGAGCTGGTCGTCGCCAGTTGTGTGAAATCCACTTTTCATTGCGCATCACTGTCACACAGGATTGAGAAATGGTTAGTTTTTGTTTGCAGTCAGCTCATAAGACACCCACTTATAGAGCTTTTTCAACTTTCCAGTCTGTTTCAAGTGCCGAATCACCACAGAAAGGCTGACACCGAGTTCTCCGGCAGTTTCTTGTGTAGCTGCAGAGCAATGGCCCCGTGACCCTCTCGGTGGGCCGCGTCAGCCGCCGCTGCCCGCCCACCGGGCTCCTGTCTCCTTTGCAAGACTTCCTGATCCACCCCTGCGCTGTCTGTCAGCAGTTCCTGGGCCAAGTGTGTCGTTAATGTTGCGAGTTGTCTCTGCTGCTTACAATCCATTTTGAATTGAATGAGAATTATTTGGTTTTATTTTTTCTGTAACATTTTGTTAGCAATAAGTCATTAGCCAAAAAAACAGTAAACTGAGACATGCACATTAAAATGATGTATAACACAGCCACACCTAAGAATGTGTTCCAGTATCAAATGGCAAAGTTCAACACTGCAAAACGGCAGCTACTTTTGCACCAACCTAATTCCACCACCGCATCTACAAACTGGCAAATGCTTTCAAAAAGATGTAGCAGAACTCTTATCTTTGGAAGAAAATGACTTAGACTATCTAACCTTTTCTAAGGCACCTCAGTATTTATCCTGCAAGGCTGTTGGATAAATTAAGAGTAACATAACAAGCCCAGTTGGTGCTGGGTAAATGAAACCAACGTGTTTAGTCTGCATTACTTCTAGATTGTTTTAACAGTAAAGACCTAGCAAGAAGAAAAACTACCAAAAAAGGCAAAAGAAAGTAATGAATGCAGCAGTGCTGGTGGTTGTTTTAATATTGTTTATTAGCACAGTAACAAATGCAGACTTAAGCAGTCCACAACATAGAACCAATCCACTGAGCAACGCCCACTCCACGCCTGACAGTTAACAGCTTAAGGTATTTTACTACAGGTTTTCAAAAGTCCTGGTTCAAACCTCTTCTCTCTTCACAATCAAGTAGATTGGCATTTAAAATAAAATACATAACTACTCATTTTCTATATTGGTGTCTTATAGCCATGTGTCCATTTCATATATGAGATAACAGTCTCTAAAAGCTGTTAAATATCAATGTTCCCTTCCAAAAAGGGAAAACAAATTCCAATTTTTCAAAACAAAAGTGTGTAGTCTTGGAAGGACTTTACATAAATGGCCATGTGTAACCTGTACGAAATTAAGCTGTTTTAAATTTACAGTCTACAAGCAACTGAACCCAAATGTCTATTCTTCTCTGTACTGCATTTCAGCTAATATTGCAGAACTAATGACAGTTTTTAAAAGTTGCTATTACCAATTCTGTCTACTGTAGCAAGATACCTTAAGTTACAACAAAATCTTAGGAAATAAGACTGAATAATATCTGTTATAGAAATACCCTACTCTTTACCAATGCCCACCCTCCCCCACCCCTTCAAAACCTTAAGCAGCTCTCTCTGTGACAGACAGACAATGTAAAGCGCTGTGAGAGCCCGGTTTATGTAGCGTATCGCTTGGTCCACTGTCGGGCCATTCTGTCATGTTCTGCTCTGTTGGTCATATACTGAGTGGCAATACTGCCCACCAAGGGGTCGGCTGGAAGAGAAGAACGGACATTACTTTGAGGAAAGGAAAAGGACGTTTAAATCTTAGCCAGTAGGTCAGTGAGAGCCTGGAAGAGTGCCGACAGGTGGTTGTGATCAAGCCACTCCACCATTCTGGACACCTTTCCTTCTAGACTCTCCTTCCCCCCCAGCCACCCCCCACTGGAGGGTTTGCTCCTCCGTGTCAGGATCCAGGAGGCTCCTGGCCCTGACTCCCGGGGACGTCCAGCTCCATTCACAGGACCCTCTGCTTGATGGCACCAGTCTTCACCCTGGACACGGTGAGGCCATCACAACAGAACCGTCCACACCGTTTGCCCAGAGAGGGCCAGGGCTGCCAGGGCAGGGCCTGCACTGTCAGTTAAGCGGTGCTCCTCCGAAACCCAGACAGAACCTTGAGTCATTAAATTTGTATTTGGCTTATCTAGAAAAAAATTTAATAGGAGGAAATGAAGGTTCAGAAACCACCACAGTCTGGCAATCACTAAGTATAGAGCAGGGAACCACTGTTCAGTTAGGGGCAGCTGCTGAGAGGACCTGCAGGCAGAGGGCAGGTCAGGGGCGGCGACCCAGCACTCACAAGCGTGTCGTTTTAAGAGAACTGCATGGGAAATACGCAAAAGCAGAACAAAAGTAAATAAAGGAGAGAATGACTAAAGATGTAAAAACCTAAGGCAATCTGATGTGAAGTCTGCGGTTTAAAACACCCTGTTCCTAGAGACATCAACTAACGGTGAAGCGGCTCCATGTTTCAACTAGTAGACAGAACTCTTGATTAGAAATTTCTTTGAAAAACAATTTTTTCTCCTTTGAAAGCTTGTACAAAAATAGAATCGGAACGTTAGAAAATCTTAGTTTAAATAGAAAAAACTGCCATTTCCCAAGAGAGGAGGAATAAACAAGGTAAAGCACCAGCGCGCTTACCGGGGTTGCAGTCTGTGAGAAGCGAGCAGATGGAGAGGAGGACTTTGGAGATGGTCAGTGCTGGGCTCCAGTTGTCTTTCAAAATGTCCAAGCAAATAACACCTTGACTGTTGATATTACAGTGATAGATTCTTGTCCGAAATGTCACCTAAAAAAGTAAGGCAGTGCTAAATGGAATTTAAACAGCAAACAATGAAACTTTTTACTAGAAAACCTTTTCAATTAAATGGCTCTAATTAAAACTTTTAAAGAAACAGACATTGGTTAAAAAAAAAAAAGTGAATAAAGTAACCAATTAATTTAAAAAGGCCAGTGAGTGTTAAGAGACTATTTAATAAAATTGAGATTAGAAAGTATTCATGGATACAATCTCAGGGATTTTCAATCTCATTTAAGAAGTAATCGTCAACAAAAAGCAAGGTAACTTCAATTTTTCCTTTTTTTCCTCTTAAATTGAACTATAGTTGATTTACAATTTTGTGTTAATATCTGCTTTTCAGCAAAGTGACTCAATTATACACACACACACACACACACACATATTTTTTAAAATATTCTTTTCCATTATGGTTTATCCCAGGAGGCTGGGTATAGTTCCCTGTATGTCTCTTGAATTCATCTTTAGCTATTTTAATGTAAATATTTTCCTAACATTTTCGAGTTTGGATAGCTAGTCGTTTGCTGACCTCTTGTGTTAGCTGGTAGAACTACATGGTCTCCAACTTCAGCACCTAATTCAAACATCGCAGTGGGTACATGAAGACAAAAAGCTTAGCAAACAGTGATCGGACACCTAAAAGGCTGAAAAATGGATCAGCAGATGCGGTTTGTTTCTGCTCATTTCTGACCTTCACATCAGATCCTGCAGCTGTCTTGCCACAGCCTCCGTCACTGAATTCCCTTTTAACAGGTTCCAGAGGTGGAGCCAGGAATGGGTAAGGACCACAGCAGCAGACAAAGCAACATCAGCTACATGAGCCTGGGTTGTTTTGTCTGGTCTCAATTTTCACTTGTGAAACACACTGCATCATTCTAGAGTGAACATAACCTGTAACTGTATCACCTTCTTAAAGTGACAGGACTGTCAGTCAGCCCTGCGGCTGCAACCGCACCCCTCCCCAGCAGTGCAGCCTTCCCTGACTCTGGGCAGCCCCCGCCCTGGAGGAGGGCCACTCCCGGGTCTGAAGGCCCGGAGGGGAGCCCGAGGCCTGGTCGGTAGGAGCTCAGCTGCCTTGCACTTCACGAATGTGCACGTCATCCTCACCTGGGGCCACACTGACAGTCCCTGCACTATTCCTGTGCGCAGACTGCGACCCGGTTAGAAACTCTTCCTGATGAGTGGGAAACAGGAGATGACTTATGGGGTGCTGTGTTACTATAAATAGCAGGATTTTAAGCCCCATGGAAAGACACTTTGTTAGAAATGGTCTTTGCCAGATGAGGCAGTCAACCCAAAGACGTGTTTTATGTATGTTCAAATGTACTTAGAGATTAGTCAGGATCTGCTCTTTGTGGTTAAAACCCCCGTTTTAAAAGCCGGATGCATCTCTCATAGGAGTATCTGAACGTCAGCGTCAGTCAGGGGAGCGCCTTACCTTTGGAGGCTTGAAGGGGTACTCCGGTGTGAAGGTGATATCGAGGAAGAACACGCCGCCCTCGTACACGGAGCCCGGCGGCCCGAGGATGGTGGACCTCCACTCGTAGATGTTGTCGCCTTTGGGACCAGCGCTGCGGAGCGACACACCCGCCGTGAGAGGGAGCCCGGCGGCGCACCCCGGGAGGGCATGCGCTTCAGTCCGCCCCTGTCAACGCGGGGCACCCTCCACCTGCCCCATTAGCGCGGGGCGCTCTCCACCTGCCCGGTTAACGTGGGGTGCTCTCCACCTTCCCATTAACGCTGGGCGCTCTCCGCAGAGCACCGGCGCCTGCCTTCCAGACCCGCGAGTGCAGGCCTCCGTCGGGCCTCCGGCCAGGAACACCAGGAACACGGGGAGGGGTGCGAAGCCTCCAAACCGGCTGGGAAGGAGCCAGAAACCCTCTCCTCCAGGCACCGTAGGAGACGCAAACCACACTTTTTTTTTTGGTTAAGTGCTCAGTGGGATACACTTTATTTTTTCATTTATTTATATTAGTTGGAGGCTAATTACAATACTGTAGTGGCTTTTGCCATACACTGACATGAATCAGCCATGGATTTACATGTGTTCCCCATCCCGATCCCCCCACCCGCCTCCCTCTCCATCCCATCCCTCTAGGTCTTCCCAGTGCACCAGGCCTGAACACTTGTCTCATGCATCCAACCTGGACTGGTGATCTGTTTCACCCTTGATAATATACATGTTTCAATGCTGTTCTCTCAGATCATCCCACCCTCACCTTCTCCCATAGAGTCTTAAAAGTCTGTTCTATACATCTGTGACAAAAAGTCTTGCATACAGGGTTATCGTTACCATCTTTCTAAATTCCATATATATGCATTAGTACACTGTATTGGTCTTTATCTTTCTGGCTTACTTCACTCTGTATAATGGGCTCCAGTTTCATCCACCTCATTAGAACTGATTCAAAAGTATTCTTTTTAACAGCTGAGTAATATTCCATTGTGTATATGTACCACAGCTTTCTTATCCATTCATCTGCTGATGGATAACTAGGTTGCTTCCACGTCCTGGCTATTAGAAGCAGCACTTAAAAGAGAGAAACACCTCTCAGCACACAGAGCTCTTCACAGCCGCCTCACCTCTGGTGAAAGCGTCATTTCTGACCCTCTGATGGGGGGCTCTTCCCCCCGTTTCTCCATAATCTTAAACAGAAAGGAGTCCCACAGTCTCAGAACAGCGTAAACCATGTATGGGCGGGCAGGGGACACAACGACCCAGTTACAAGTCGTTCCGTTTGGTCCCAGCATGAATCCAATTCCACAAGCAGCCCTCCACACACCAGAGCACGCCTGGTTACACGCGGTCACGCCGGGACACCTTCTCCAGGGCCCTGTCGGATCGGCACCTCTGCAGTCAGGCACATGAATAAACAAAAACCGAAAGCTTCACACACGTGTCTAAACAGGAAGTGTAACATTCTGGTGTTTAGAAAAGACGAGGCGTCCGGGAGCCAGTTTGGCTCCTGGAGTAAAAGGCCTTCCCACAGCACGGGGATGACACGGGCGATGCTGCGGAGGGGTTAACACGCATGTTTTCATTCCAGGGTCTCAACCTAACTATTAACTGCTGCTTTGAGGACAGTGAAGTGTGTTAGCCAAACACCAAAAAAGTTCTTCACTTGCAGACTTGCAGATCCAGTCAGCACACAAAAGACTTTCTACAGAGCAGGCAAAACTCTTTTAGACAAACGTTCTGTGTGAACTGGACTCGTTCACTCACACACGCGCTGACAGCCCATACACCAGGCAGCTGCTGAATGCCGGGGGTTCCCATAATGAACAAGATGAGAACTGCTCGTCTTCATCTTGCTCTCCGCTAACTGGTTCGAGGCGGGGTTCAATTCCTTTTAAGAGAAACAGATGAAGAGGAAGGGAGATGAGAAGAAAAGGAAAAGTGAAAGCCATCTTGTTGCCCCATACTTTCCCCAAAGTCACTGGAGATTTTTTCTCTCAGTCTGGAGTTTGACTATACAGTGGAAGTGAGAAATAGATTTAAGGGACTAAATCTGATAGAGTGCCTGATGAACTATTGATGGAGGTACGTGACATTGTACAGGAGACAGGGATCAAGACCATCCCCAAGAAAAAAAAAATGCAAAAAAGCAAAATGGCTGTCTGAGGAGGCCTTACAAACAGCTGTGAAAAGAAGGGAAGGGGAAAGCAAAGGAGAGGAGGAGAGATATCCCCATCTGAAGGCAGAGCTCCAAAGAGCAAGCAGAGATAAAAAGCCCTCCTCAGCGATCAATGCAAAGAAATAGAGGAAAACAACAGAATGGGAAAGACTAGAGATCTCTTCAAGAAAAGTAGAGATACCAAGGGAACATTTCATGCAAAGACGGGATCAATAAAGGACAGAAATGGTAAGAACCTAACAGAAGATATTAAGAAGAGGTGGCAAGAACACACAGAAGAACTGTACAAAAAAGATCTTCACGACCCAGATAACCACGATGGTGTGATCACTCACCTCGAGCCAGACATCCTGGAATGTGAAGTCAAGTGGGCCTTAGAAAACATCACTATGAACAAAGCTAGGGAGGTGATGGAATTCCAGTTGAGCTATTTCAAATCCTGAAAGATGACGCTGTGAAAGTGCTGCACTCAATATGCCAGCAAATTTGGAAAACTCAGCAGTGGCCACAGGACTGGAAAAGGTCAGTTTTCATTCCAATCCCAAAGAAAGGCAATGCCAAAGAATGCTCAAACTAC